GGAGGGCAGGCCTTGGGGGAGGCGGGGGGTGGGGAGAAACACACCAGCACACAAGTACATTAGGGAGTTGGGAGTTTACACCAGTGGGCATAGCTAGCTTTCCTTTTTTTATTATTTATTATTTTTTATTTTTTTTGAGTTGGAGTCCCACTCTGTTGCCCAGGTTGGAGTGCAATGGCATGCTCACGGCCACAGCAGCCTCAACCCGCTGGGCTCAGGCAATCCTTCTGCCTCCGCTTTCCAAGTAACTGGAACTACAGCCATGTGCTATCACCCCCGGCTTATTTTTTGATTTATTGTAGAGACAATGTCTCACCAAGTTGCCCAGGCTGGTCTCGAACTCCTGAGCTTAGGCAATTCTCTCACCTTGGCCTCCCAAAATACTCGACTACAGGCTTGAGCCACCGTGCCTGGCCTGCTTGCTTTCTTACTGTAGAGTAACTGTGAACATGTTCCAGTTACCTCAATGCCTTAAAAAAATGTAATAGCTTTAAAAGTCCAAAACCAAAGGCAGATTTGCAGTAGCAGATTGCACACAGTGTATATGGTGTTGCCTATGACTGCTGATCCAGTCAGCACACAGCACAGGCCAGAAGTCTTATTCTGGACTATAGTTCTAAAGAAGACACATTACAAAACACAAATTTTAATGACTTTATTTTTGTTTTTTGTTGTTGATACCCCATCTTCTCTCCTATCTTATAAGTTTTACAAAAGCTATTTGTTAAAGTGGCTAATTTTGAAATTATTTAAAGAGGCTGGGTATGGGGTTCAAGCCTGTAATCCCCCCACTTTGGGAGGCTGAGGCAAGAGGATTGCCTGAGTCTAGGGATTTGAGACCAGTCTGGGCAACTTGGTAATACCTTGTCTCTACAATAAATCAGAAAATAATCCGGGCATGGTATCACGTGCCTGTAGTTCTAGCTACTTGGAAGGATGAGGCAGAAGGATCGCCTAAGCCCGGTAGGTTGAGGCTTGCAGTAGCTGTGAGTGTGCCACTGCACTCCAGCCTGGGCGACAGAGTGAGATTCCAACTCAAAAAAAAAAAATTTGTCTAAAGTGAACATTAAAAACTAAATTGTCACCTATTCTCAAAACTTTTTTGCTCTTCAAGTCAAATGCAAGAGTGATAGCAACTATTAATGTTTACTTTTCCACTAAGTTTTATATTATTTCTAAGTAAATAAATTATTTATATAACTATTCTCTATTGTTAAGAAACGAAATACATCCATATACTTACTTTAATGCAATAAGATATGCAATTATCTTCATAGTGTTTACAACATCTATGTCTTGGTCCATGCTTGCATCTGAAATTATACCAAAAAAAATTATAATTAAAGTGTGTATATGTGTATAGATCTGTTCAAAACTCTCTAATCAAAAAACAAACAAAAAAATTGAACAGAGGAAGAAAAAAATTACTCACTTATTTTAAATGTGTGCAACTTTGGGGTTTTAGGACATACAGAAGCAAGGATAAGGATAACACATTTTTTTTCTTTGCAGCTTACTATTTGACACATTGTATAAAATATGTGACTGTAGTTAAAATACTTGAATGTGGAACAGAAAACTGCACTGGTATTTGTGACTAAATATAAAAATATGTATACATTATTTATATACTCTACCAAATCTTTTGGAAGCTTTAAATCACTTATTGTAGAATATAATGGTCATAAATCATCCATGAAGTCAGTACTTGAGCAAAAATCATAATGAGAATGTGCTCAGGTTACAGGAGTTTATACTTAATTATATTTGAGAGAAAACATCTGGAAAAGAAACATGATATAGTATTAGAATTCAAAATTCAGTTTTTAAAATAAATATAGAAACAGAGATCATGTGGTAAAATTCAAAAGTTGGTTATTTGTGATTTAATTGCAAGCCACTTAAACTTTTCGTGTTTAATAAATATTTCTGCTGGGAGGACATACTCATTTTATTTATTTGATATGTTAAACCCAAGACTATTCACCACAGGCATAAAAAGGGAAACAGAATATCCAACATGGGTCTAGCTCCCTCTCTCTTTCTCTTTGAAGGATTTATATTCCAAAATAAGTAGTCTTATCTTCTTGCAGACTGTAGCTAATTAGTTATCTTCACGGTTGGACCACATGAATTTTTTCTTATTTGTAACAATAACTTCTAGAGCAATGTTCTGGCTCTGCATCTCTCCAATTCCATTTGCAAATTGATTCGCAAGACCTTTTCCGAAATTCAATTCTGCATTGCAGCTGGAGAATCCAGGCGGCCTTTCCCAGTCAAGGGTGACAGCAGCAGTTCATACCAGCCATCCCTTATGTCATTAGAATGATATGGCATATCTGGTCATGTGAAGCTGTTGAGTGATTAAAGCTGGAGGCCTGAAAAGAGGCAAATCAGAGAGGGACTGCCTCATGGAAGCTATCACTCTTCACACTTGTACGTGTTCTTTTCAAAGACATTTCTCAGCTATTGCTACCAGAACTACACTGAAATTGTCAAACTTTCTTTGCTAGTGAAGTTAAACCCTGAGAGCAACTGTATTGCCATTTAATCTTTCCATCATTAAAGTCAATCATTAAAATGGCTTCCCAAGTCCTGCCTGGCTCTTATTTTATTTATTTGGCTTCCATATTATTCTGCATCTGCATTCCTACCCATGGACCCACTGAAGCTCTTCTGATAAACGTTGCCATGAGCTGACCAGTTCTGATGCCCCAAGGCATCGTTCAGCCACATAACTAATTCTCTGCATTCTCCTCTGATTTGTGTTAAATTATTTCCATAAATGGAATCTTTTCTTCCTTTTCTCCACTAAGGTAACCTGCAGCTATTTTTGAACTTGCTTAATAAATTCACTACCACAATTATTCCTGTAATCGACTATTTCCTTCTTTAATCTTGTCTTCTGGGTGTGGTATATGCTAAGATGAAGGCAAAATCTTAAAATTCAGTAAAAATGTGAATACCTGTTTTGTGTTAATATATTATATGAAGCTATTTCATTTACTGGTCAACAATTCTTAAGAGAGATGATTAACCCCGTTAATAGATAAGAACTTTGGAATGCAAATTGTTAAATGATTTGTCCAAAGTCACAAAGTTGGTAGAGATAAAATAAGAGTCAAATAAACTTTCTGATTTCTTAAAGGATCTCAGCTTTCTATAAATGATCCCCTAACTCTTTTTTTTTTCTTTTGCATCAGGGTCTCAGTCTATCACCCAGACTGGAGTGCAGTGGCATGATCACAGCTGACCACAACCTGGACCTCCTAGGCTCAGGCAATCCTCTTGCCTCAGCTTTCCAAGTAGCTGAGACTACAGACCTGTGCTACTTCACCTGGCTGAATCTGTGATTTTTTGTAGAGACAAGGTCTCGCTATGTTGCCTAGGCTGGTCTCAAAATCCTGGGCTCAAGCAATCCTCCTGCCCTGACCTCTCAAAGTACTGGGATTACAGGCATGAGCCGTCAAGCCAGGCCAATCCCCTAACTTTCTATATTGCCTACTCATTCTACTTTCTCTGAAATGTCACAACAAAGATTATTTTTATTGGCTGATATTCTCATTTCAAACTGTTAAAATGTATTTTCTTAAATGTCTACTCTAGAGATATAAATGAAGACTAATTTGTATAAAATATAAAGACGTCTTCATATAATAAACGAGTAAAGATTTAGTTCAGTTTGACAGCCCTAAACATTTTCATTCTTACAAATATCCTTTATTTAAGGTTTGCTGCTCATTATTAATTTACCTCAAGAACTTTTCTTTTTCCTCTCCATACTTGGCACATTATATTAGTACATCTTAATGTGTTTCCTTAAGCTCTCCATCATAGTTGCCTATAATTCTGCCTGGTTTGAAATACAAAAGTATTTCAATTTTAGGCAAATCCTATTTTAAAAGCATTTGATGGTCTATAGTCCTGCCAGAAATAATAAATAACGTTCATTTGTCATTGTTTGCCTTTATAAAATTCTATACTGTCTCTGATTAAAAAATGATTATCATTACCTAAATAGAAAACAAAACAAAAATACTTTGGCATGGTACAAATATCATACAAAACAGTGACAAAGTTTGCTAAAATATCAAGATAAATAACTTACATAGAATCCACAAGTTTCCTGACTACAGCAATCATGTTCATTCTTCTTGGTTTTTCCTCATGCCTCTCTCTCTTTTGTTCCACTTTTGCATATGCTGTCTCTGGTAAATAAGAATGTGTGGGAATTTCTTCCTTCCCTACAATGAACCTAAAGAAAAGAGCACAATGTGAGGCATTTTTCACCTTAAAAAAATGAGACGAAAAGAAAAAGATTTTGTTTATGAACAAATACATTTTGGGAAATATCATCATTTAAAATAGTACTTTCACAGTTTACATAAAATCTAATCATTCTTTGAAGAAAATTTTAATAGTAATTTGTTTGACAATGTAGGCATTTAAAACATAAATTAACCAAGTAACATACAGCACAGTACTTTTTATGAAGCACCCTAAAACTTAGGATGCCACTTTTTATGGCATTGCATGTCCTAAAGTTTTCCAAATGCAGTGGATAAATTTAGGCCTACTAGTCAATCACAAAAAATATTTCCCCCTAAATTTGGCTAATAGTTAACAACTGAATAAATTTCTCATGTACAGCACAATTCTACATTTATAGCTGATATTACTTGGAGTCATGGACAGCTGCAATGCAGCAGGTCATCTACACACACAAAGAAATGGAGGGAACTGTAGAATGAGAATCAGGAATAGTCAAGACTGTATCCTCATAAGATTAGAAAATCGAAAACTCTAGGTTATGCCAACATACTTACTTCTCTTTGGAAAAATCATATACACAGGATATGACATTATTTCTATTTCATCAAAACTAGATTACATTTTTCCAAAGACAATGCAACAAAAAACAATACCACCATTAGATATTCCGCAAGAAGTATCCATTCCCAGAGCTTGTATAATTGCTGTTTATACCTGCCCTACAATAATCATTGCCTTTGTAAAGAATAAGCAAACTTTCCTAAGGAAACTGTTAACATTTATTTACTTAAATATCTACTCTAGAAATATAAATGGAGACTTATTTATATAAAATATAAAGACTTCTTCATATAATATACAGATACTTATTTCAGTTTGACAGCCTTAAACATTTTCACTCTTACAAATATCCTTTATTTAAGGTTTCAGAAAATATTTTTAAAATAGATAAAACAGGAGATCAATAACACTACATTAAAATTCTGGAACTTGGGGCCTGTGACAAACAGAATATAAAAATATAAACACTCAGAAAGGAGAGAAAGAAAAGGCTGTTACTACCAACAACTGCAACCCATAGTCTGGACACACTTGAACATTCAGTTTATGAAATCATGAGGGGTGCACGATGGGTTTGTCACCAGATGGCAGCTGTGTATCCTTGGAGGCTGCCAGTCTAAAAGAATTTGTTTCTTTTTTTTTTTTTTTCACAAAGTTACCCAAAAATTATCATAAAATTTTAATAGCACACTTAAAAGTTTAAGATAACAAAGATTAAAAACAAAAAATAACTGAGGATGAGAGATCCCAAACTGGTAGCTGATGGAGGAATTTGTTTCTTACTTGTGGGTGTTCATGGAGTTTATGATCTGTACTTACTGTTCTTTACAAGCAACAAGGATAAGACTATGCCAGAATAGACACAACAATTTCTCTCAGACCTTTCAGAACACTGTTGCTATATTGACCAGGAATGACTAGCTCAGGTTAGATGTCATGTTCTTGGAGAAGTTGTCCCTACCCACCCTGGGTAAATTACTGATCTTTCCTCCAAGCTATGAGAGCCCAATGAACTCCCAGAACTGCAAGCACCACTTTAGTAACCCACATGGCCCACTAAACTGTGGGGCCTGTGAGACTATGGATATCTTCTTTGTTGTTATATCCCAACATCAAGCAAAGTGTCTGGCATATGGCAAATATTTAATTATTACATATTGAATTAATGAATACAGTAGTAGCTAAGATTTTCTGAGTACTTGCTACATGACGGACACAGTGCCAACTGAGCCTTTTACAAGTATCAAACCATTTAATCCTCACAACAACACTATTGGTGTCATAATTCTCATGAGAGGCAGCATGATTAAATATTTGTCTATAGCCAATAAACAATCAGTAATTATTTGAATACAGAATTGCCTGACCCTAAAGCATGGCTTCTCAATCACAGAGTTTTATATACTTGCAACTGCTTTAAACTATGTTGAATTAGGCTTAGTGCACTTCCATAATCTTGCACTGGCTTTTCTCTCATGCTTCTGTCCTTGACTCTATTTTTATGACTTCTGCTATTATCTATATACACAGATAGTTTTCAAATCATTCTACACACTATTTCCAGAAAAACGTGCTAAAGTGAACATCTGAACTTGCTACACTCATCCTCCAAGAATTTCACTGGCTTATGGCCTGCTGAATTAAATACAAACTTCAAGCTGAAAACATCACCTAGTACAGAGTATGTGCTCACAATAGAATCTATTATTACATTACAGCTAATTGATCTACTTGCTGTTCTCCAAATAAACCATGCTTCTGTGCTACTTGTCTTATCCACATCATTCTCTCCATCTTTTCTAAAGTCTTATTTTTTACCCTTTAAAATCCTTCTTAAATGCTCCTACCCTCCACCCTCTTCTTCCCATCCCTCGTCACAAAAAATAAATGTAATTTGTGCATTATAGCACTTAACTTCTAAGGAGTCTTATTGCACTGGGGTCTTCCTATTCTATAATTCTGTATAATTTTTCTGCTTTCTTCTCCGCCTTTACTCCTACCCACAACATGGGAAGAGACAATAAATTAGGTCTCCCTAAAATATATTCCTAAGATAACCTACACTTCACATCTGCAGTAATCAGCATTATTACAATTAATATAGTCTCATCTCCACCACCAGACCACAAGCTCAGTGAGGACAGAAACTGTATTTGACTAATTCCCCAGTGTATTCCCAATGCTTAGTGCAAGACCTGGGGCAAAGTAAAAGTAGACTAAGTATATATAAATGAAGGTTATACTTTAGCTCCTATATTATCTTGCACATGTTGAGGAGTGCTAAAAAAAATGGATGCTGAACTGAAATTTAAATAGTTTAAAGTTTTTTTACCCTATGTTTAATTAGGAGATATTAAACTGGGGTACTTTGTGAATATTCATCCTTTGTGAATAAAGGACAGTTTTCTTCAGAGTGAACAATATGTTTTCATAATACAGCAATTATGATCCACATAAGATGAGCCTTTTAAAGATTGTGTTTCATTTAAATCTCACCATTCTCAAACATATCAGGCACTGAATATATTTTTCCTCACCTAAGTTTCATATTGTCAGGAAGTCATTACATTATTTTTTGTCAATGAAACTTGAAAACTAAAAATATACTTGGCTTTTAGTAATATTCTTGAGAATCAGCTTATTAAGTTGAGACTAATCAACTTGCAATATGAGGAATCTGAAATGAAACATAATTTGCTTAGCAGAAAAAGATGTACACTATAAACACATGACATTTCACAATACCTAACAATTTTCTTGCTTTAACAAAAAGAATATTAGCAAGAGTTTCTAAGCTTTTTTCCCTGACTCCTTTTGCATAATACAGAGAAAATGTTAAATAAAAACAATCCAAACTAGCCCTCTGTCACAAGTGGATTTGATGACGAGACACAAAAACATCAGACATATTTTGAGTTTCTGCAAGAATTCTGGGGCTCTAAGGAGAACTGTGGGAAAACCACGAAGAGTTTTCCCTTCTCTTTAGGAAAACTAACTTTCATTTTTGTTATAAACTTTCAACTTAATACAGAATGATTATAGACAACACAATGACAATAATAAAAAACTTATTTTCTGATAAATTTCATGATCCTTTAACGAAAAAGATAAAAAAATTATTATTGTCTATTATGACTTAGAAAGTTATTATTACCATGGAGTTTTTAAAACCACAGATATTCCTAATCATACAGCGGACTCCATTTGTCCCCTCCCATATCAGTTTTCTTGCATGCTAACAGCACCTTCTTTCAGACACTTAGGTTTTCAATACTTGGCTAGGATTGAGGGGTGGAGGGGAAGAGAAAGAAGGAAAATGGTGGTCACTAGGTCTTCTTTTCTTCTACTGCAAGTCTCAACTTTGTTCTTTCTCTTTAATCCTCCACAATCACACCAATTCCAGCCCTTAATATTTTGTTTTTCTACCTTTTGGTTCCCTCTCTTTCAATGTCCAAAGACTATGACTTATCAAATACTCAGACTTATTTTTCTGAAGCACTGTCAACTACTCTGCTCAAAAGCCTTTTGTGGCTCCCTACTGCCAACTTTATCAAATTCAAGTTTGTCTCCTCCGCCCCTTCCCGCCGGCCTTCCATAATCTGGCCCTACTATACATATCAAAAAAATATTCTATATTCCCTAATATAAACTTTCATACCAATTAAGCTCATCTTCTCACTCTTACCTCATATTTCATATTTACCATTTTCTTCCTTTTGCTAATATTATTCATTTCCATCCATAGTGCTCTTCTTCTTCTCTTATAGTTATCAAAACTTAACATTAGCCAGCACAGTGGCTCATGCCTGTAATTCTAGCACTTTGGGAGGCTGAGGTAAGAGGACTACCTGAGCCCAGTATGAGACCAGCCTGGGCAACATAGCAAAACCTCATTTCTACAAATAATTTTTATAAATTAAAAAAAAAAAAAAAAAAAGGCATGATTGTGCACATCTGTAGTGCCAGCTACTTAGGAGGCTGAGGCAGAAGGATCACCTGAGCCCAGGAAGTCAAGGCTATAGTGAGTCATGATCATGCTACTGCACTCCAGCCTGGGTGACAGTGAGACCCTGACAAAAAAAAAGTCTCCAAAAATAAATAAAATAAAGCTACTCAAACACTGTTCTAAATATTTGTCATGTTTTAGTTCATTTGATCCTCAAAATAACTATATTAGACAACCATATAAAAATTTATCTTAGTATTGAAGCCCACTCTAACTTTCCCCTGCAATACTTGCAGTAAATTACCATGCTACTAATCTTCATTAAGCATTTACTGTATGTACTCTGGATAATAAAATAGGCAACATTTATGATATAAACTAGATGAACATTGGGTTTGGAGTCAGTATACACAGTTACTTTAGTGATGTTAAATTAAATTAGTCAAACATTTTAAGTCTCAGTTTTCTCATCATGTTACACGGGCATAAAAATATCCATCTCACAGAACTGTTGTTAAAACCATTTTAATCTATGTGACAACACTTGATGAACTATAAAATACATGTTAATGCTACCAAACATTCCTACAGTATATACCATGTGCCAACTACTGGGCTAAATAACAGACTCACTATGAGGTGAAAAAAAAAACACTAGCAATGCTTCAAATCTAGTGTGTGTGATGGTGCGTGAGTCTTGCCCTAAACAAAACCCATAATCTGGTGCCATACAGTCAAGTACTTAATTTTGTGGTCATTGTTCTTATGCAGCTTTGTCTTTCCAAATTCCTTGAAGAGAGCTCTTATATATCTTTTCTAACATCCCACAGTAAAAGGCGCAAAGGTGACCCCAAAGATACTAGTTGATTCATTGATTTTAGGGGGGATATCTGATAAATTACTCTTTCAACGAACTATCCACAAAAAAAGTGGACATACTTTTGTGACATCTAAAATTACTTTCAACTTAAAAATAGAGTCAATAAATAATTATTGGAATTATGTATTTTTAAGCTAACTTGTAAATTAACTCTCAACATAAAAGTAAAATGCTACTTACCTAAGTGCAGAAAACGTAAATCCTTTCAAACCATCTTTGCACCTAAAATAATAAAAATTAATAATCATAAAATAACATTTTGAGATGCATGTATTATATTACATAGCTATTAAAATTGGTTCTGAAAATAATGTTTTAAAAAGTGAAACTCTTCAGTGATCTTGACAATACAAATGGTCAAACAAGCAACAAGTAGTGAAGTCAGTCGCCTTACACAAAATGATTATTATGATAATGTTTTCCCATGTCACATTAACATAACTTAGGGTTCAACTCTCAGATCTACAGGTTGAAGAGAGACTCAAATAAATTTCTAAGGGCTCCATCAGACTTAAAAAGGAGGGCTGGGAATAGAGCATTCTTCATACTACCCAATCCCTAGGGGACCAATCTTCTGTGAAGACAAAGGCCACATACACCTGAGGGGTATTATATGCAGGTCAATTCAAGGTCCTGACTTATTAATTCAGTGCATGCAGAGCAGTACAGAGTTGGCAGGCACAGAAAGGCTTTAAGGTTTAGTTCAACAGTTTTATCTTCTGATCTAACCCAATCAGAAAAGATTGAGGGCTGGAAGGAGAGCAGAAAGAGAGGATTCCAAATAGTATTTATTGAGGCTTTATTATTGCTAGGCACTGTTTGGGGTCCTTTATATATGTTATTTCACTTAATTATATCACAACTCCATAGATAAGCTTTTCTCTATTCCATAGCTATAAAGAGGCTCAAACAATGCAGCAACCTACATCACAAAATTAAAGGCAGTCAGAATTTAAGGGGAGCTGAATTTGTCTGTTCAAGTTTGTTTGACTTAAAAGTCATGGTTTTCTCTTATACATCCTCCTGAAACACTATTGTAATCCCAGCACTTTTGGAGGTCAAGGCAGGACTGCTTGAGACCAGGAGATTGAGACCAGCCTGGGCAACACAGAGACCTTGGCTCTACAAAAAATATTTTTTTCCCGTTAGTCAGGCATGCTAATGTGTGCCTGTAGTTCCATCTACTGTGGGGTGAGGGAGGTGTAGTGGGGGGAGCAAGGGGGATTGAGGCAGAAGGATCACCTGAACTCAGAAACTCAGAAGGTCTAAGCTGCAGTGAGCATGATCATGCCAATACACTCCAGTCTGGGTGACAGAGTAGGACCATGACTCAAAAGAAAAAAAAAAATTGCTGCTATTCAGTGTCTTTGTTCTTCTTTATAGGTATGATCTCCTTCCATAAAGGGTTTTTGGGTATTTATTATCAAAATCCCTTGAAACTTACAAAAATTGGTAATACAATGATGCTCTAAAATATGTAAATATTAGACATTGGATATTCTTGGATAAAGAGTGCAGCCTCAGATACAATTGGGCAATTTTTCCTGTATGTCTTTTGTATGAAAGGTCAAAAAGAAAATGCATAAAAAAATATATTTTTTTATTGAAGGCAGTACAGAATCTGATAAAATAATTTAATCCATGTGCACAGAGATGTTTTAAAACACTTAAGAACACACTTAAATTAAGCAACATGATTTATTTTGTGGTCATGTTAATAGTGAGAAATGTAATCACAGAATTTAGTTAACATACTATATAATTATCTATCCTTCACAGAATGAAGTAAAGACAAAATAACCATATGTTAAGCTAAAAACGTGCATGGGAAATTATAACATTAAAATTCTTAAACTTATCTTTTTTCCATGTGAAGAAAGTATTTTGCAATAAATAAAAACCCATAATCTAGTTAGGTGAGGTTGGGAGGAAGTAAGCTATGGGTCTATTGATTGGAAAAAAGAAAGCAGTAGATTAATTAAAAGATTATATATATCTCAGAACAAGTTTTGGCTTTGATATATTAGTATTTAAAGACAGCCATTTATCTTTATGCTATGCTGAATAGATAAAAAATTCTGACAACTTGGTCTAGTCAGAATTGCATACTTGTGACCTTAAGTAATAAATGTAACTGCAGATCAAAACATCAAAAAGTAGTTTTCAAATATAAAAGGAGTATATACAAATAAATTTACAATTTTATTATGATGGAAGTGTAATTCTTTCAGTAGAACCCTGTAGGAAGAACTTCATATTGATAAAGTACTTAGCATGGATTCAAAAGGTGCTATTTTTCTTTCCATTCATGTATATAAGGTTTGCTAATGTAATTAAGGGTCAGATGTCTATGTGAAAAGAATAAAAAAGCAATTATTCCCATAAAAAGAATCTAAAAATAGAAATATGGCCCTGCATTATGACACCAAGAGCATTAACCTAACTATGAAACACTACTGTAATATGTGTTAGATGGTAAAAGAACGATATAAACATAAAGATTTAAACAAAGCAAACTACATTAGAGGGTTCTTCACTATTCCATAGACTTGGTTACCACAACGGAAATCAAGTCACATTCTCCATTTAAGCATTAAGGCTCCTGATTTCTTTGAACAAATATTAACTAAATGGCCACTATGTGTCAGCACTGGCTTAGCTTCTAATTATATGTTGGACAAGACATGAGATAAAAAAGTAAATATGTCAGATGGTGATAATTGCTATGGCAAAAAACTACAAGATAAGGGAGAAACAGTGTGGAGTCAGGCTTATTATTTTACATAGCATGATCAAGAAGGGCCTCTTAGTTATCTGATCAGAAACCTTAATGAATTGACAAAAGAGCATTTCAGTTTGAAGCAATAGCAAGTTCAAAGCCTGTGATGAGGAGTCTGCATGGCAAGTAAGAACAAGTAGCTGAAACGCAGGGTGGGGTGAAGGGGGTGGAGTGGTGAGAAATGAGGTCATAGTAATAGAGGTGGAGGGGGGAAGTGGTCTGCAATTTACACACAGCCCTTTAGGCAAGGTAATGAATTTGGAAAGTTCTCAGCAGAAGAGTGATGAGATCCTTCTTAAATTTTAAGAGAATTACTGTGGCTGCTGGATAGAAAACAAACTACAGGAGGGCTAAGTTAAAAGCAAGGAGGAAGCAGGCCACAGTGGCACATGCCTGTAATCCCAGCACTTTGGAAGGAGAAGGTGAGAGGATTGCCTGAGTCCAGGGGATTGAGAATAGCCTGGGCAATTTGGTGAGACTTCATCTCCACAATAAATCAAAAATCAGCCGGGCATGGTGGCACGCACCTGTAGTTCCAGCTACTTGGAAGGCTGAGGTAGAAGGATTGCCTGAGCCCACCAGGTCAAGGCTGCGGGGGCTGTGAGTGTGCCACTGCACTCCAGCCTGGGCAAGAGTGAGACTCTGACAAAACCAAAATCAAAACCAAAACCAAAACCAAAATCAAAACAAAAACAAAAACAAAAAAACAAGGAACCTAGTTAGGAGGCAAAAGATGATTGCTGTCATCTAGATTATAGTGGGAGGTAGAGAGAAGTGGTACAATTTTGAATTTATTTCAAAGTAGAGCTGGTTGAATTAATTGATGTTTAAATGTAGGGTAAGAGAGAGAAATTACAAATTACTGCAATATTTTTTATTTGAGCAAACAAAAGGATAAAACGACCACTTGATAAAGTGAAGAATACTATGGAAAGTATACGCTAAAGGAGAAAAATCACAAGTTCTGTTTTGAACAAATTAAGATTGAAAAGTACGTTAGCTAATTAAAAGCCAAAGCTAAGGAAGGAAGCAGCTGGTTATACAGGTCTGGGGAGCAAGGTCTGATTTGCTCATATGTAGTACTTAAACCCACGAGATCACACTCATATATTTATTTCTTTATAGCTTAAAATGCATAAAACATCTTCTGTAGAAGAAAACTCAAAATTCATTTCCCCTAAACAAAACCTGTCTTCTAACATAAAGTCTTATTTTCTTTTCTTTTCTTTTTTTTTTTTTTTTTTTTTTTGAGTTGGAGTCTCACTCTGTCGCCCAGACTGGAGTGCAGTTGGCGGCTCCTGGCAACTGCAGCCTCGACCTGCTGTGTGGACGTAAAGAAATGCATTTAACTCATGGATACTTAGATCTATTTTACCTATGCAAATAACATAAAGTAACTACCATAAACTGATACATATTTACTGAATCTCTACTTGCAAAATCCTGTGCCACTTATGATATGAAACAAAGCAAGGAAAGACAAAGAAGATAAAACATTTTGTAACATTATATCAAATAACTCTGTTGATACACAATTAATTATAGAGGTTCAGGTTAGAATTGCACACTGTGAACAGGAAGCTATAAAAAAGCTTAATTGTATCATTGTCAGAATAATACTCTTGGTCAAATGTCAAAATTGTTTATTAGAAGCATAAATGATAGTAAAAGAAACAACTCTGCACACAAAGATTTGTTTCTTTCATGCTTAACGTCCATGACTATTTCCATGAGATACTTTTGTCTTCATTTCAACATTGTACCAGCAGATGTCACTAGAAAACTGCTTCAGAAGAATTTTAAGCTCTTTGGTGTGACTTCTATAACAAACTGCAGCTTTCTCTCCAAAAATACATTTACCAGGAATAAAAAAAGTTACTAATCTTAATTAAATTGCATTAAGTTCTCCCAAGTAAATGTTGTGACATTAAACTTTTAATGGTAGTTGATGTTCCTCTTCCTGTAATTCAACCATCACAATATGTTTAAGAACATCTATTGTTTGGAACCAACATAAAATTTGATGATGTAAATGTGCTGCTTTATTATGTGTTCTCTAATGAGCTGAAAACAATGAGAACAAATTATTTTGAAACTTGAATTTTTTTATTGTTTACTCAGTTTTTATTCATTTTGTAAACAGAATGCATGTAATAGATATACTTTAGATATCTTCTTTAAAATATTTCTTCACAACCTACAGAAAGAGGAAATATTTGCAAACTACTCACCAACAGAAGATTAATATCTAGAATACACAAGGGACTCAAACATCTCAACAGTTTAAAAAAACTTATTAAAAAGTTGGCAAATGATCTGAACAGACATTTCTCAAAAAAAAAGAAAAAAAAAGGAAAAAAAAAGACATACAAATGGCCAACAAATACATGAAGAAAAAAAACACTCAGCATCATTAATCATTAGGGAACTGTAAATCAAAACC